GGTCCAGACCGGTTCGGACCAGCTGGACCAGTTCAGTCAGTTATTTTCAGTTTCAGTCCCGGTTTTCAGTTTCAGTGATTTTATCAGTTAAATTTCCGGGTCAAGTTCAGTTCAGTTAATTATTATCAGCTTAGTTTCATACTTAGCCAGTTTCAGTTATGCCGAATAGGTCCGAATACCATGTCAGATTCGAGCGAGCATCTTAATATAATTAAACAGCTAAATTTATCAGTCTGAGCATAGTCAATAGTAATTGTTTATATTATTTTCAGTTTGATCAGGCATCAGCACTTCCCTTCAGTTCAGTTTTTCAGCAAAATCAGGTGGGGACTCAGACTAAGTATCACATGGTTTATAATTACGTTACCATGGTCGAGGTATGTATATTCAGATACCGCTCGGGGTGGTCGCCGGTCCATCCTGAGTTTTAGTGGCCTGATCTAGCCACTAGAGTGTGCACATGGTCCAATGTTAGTTTCGCCGGGAGATTTTCAGTTATCAGTTACGCGACTTATGTTGCGAGATTCAGTTATCAGTTACGTGACTTCGGTCGAGAGTTCAGACCGGTTTATATCAGATTCAGTTCAGTTCAATTATATATACTCAGTTCATTATCATGTTATTATTTATGATGTTTTACATTAGCATGAGTTTCTGCGGAGCACAGTGCCTTAGTGCTCACGCCCCACATTTATCATGTTTTTTTTCAGGTCGCAGGGTCGGTGATGAGGAGTGAGCGAGACGGGCTGTTCAGGACTTTTATGACTGTTGTATTATTATGATTAAACCACGCTTAGACTTCCGCTAAACTTTCAGTACTTTTATTCAGACTTTACTCCGATGTTTGTTGGATAAGACATTTATAACCGTTTTATTTATCAGTTTAAAATTTGAACGGTTTTCAGAAAGTCATGTTTCACGGTAGCATCCCGATCAGTTTTCGCATAAAATAAGTTCTTCATTTAAGTTTTCAGTAAATTGCGAAAAACCCGCGTACTCTGATGTATTTCAAGAAGCGGGGTGTTACAGCTTGGTATCAGAGCGCGCGTTTTTGCGTCTCTGAAAAGTTTTTCAGTCAGAAATTTTCAAAAATTTTCAGAAAAACCTGAACCGTCACGCTCACGCCTCGCCGACACCAGGTAAGTGCTGATTCAGTTTTTCAGTTATAAACATATTAATTTGTCTATGCTCAGAAATCAGTAATCAGACTTAGTTAAGATGCTCAAATCAGATTCGGACTTTAGAGTTCAGTTATAACTCTAGAATTCAGGGCTATCAGTATGACTCTAGACTTTGGTATCTTGCGATATGACTCTAGAGATCCTCAGGTTTCATGTCAGTAATTATCGGCCACTTTTGGCTACTCGTCAAGAGATTTGTGTGCCTTAAAAATTAGTCAGGATATCATCATGTGTTCAAAAATTTCGAACTTTTTCAATATTCAGATGGCACCAACTCAGGCTACCGTGGTCGCTCAGTTCCGCGATTACCATGCCGAGAAGTTCTCAGGGCAGGGAGACCCTCGCATAGTTGACGAGTGGATTCAGGGCCTGGAGTTTATCTTCGAGGTCATGGAGTGCCCTGAGAGATTCCGCGTCATTTGCGCTCAGCTTCAGCTCACCGGAGATGCTAGGCTCTGGTGGAACGCTTACTGGGGCATGCGCCCCGGTGAGAAGGCGGGTTGTACGTGGGAGATGTTCAAGGAGCTAGTCCGGGAGAAGTACTATCCCGCCTACTACCGAGCTGAGATGGAGCGCCAGTTTCTATCGCTCCAGCAGGGTACTCGCACTGTCGACTAGTACGAGAGGGAGTTCACGAGGCTTGCAGCTTTTGTTCCTGATCTGGTCCGTTCGGAGGCCCAGCGAGCACAGCGTTTCATTGACGGGCTATACCCAGTAGTCCGTCATAACATCGTCGGCCACGGGACGCAGACTTATGCTCGTGCTGTCTCCATTGCTCAGGAGGTTGATGCGAATCTCAGGAGGGAGGCCGCTCGCGGACAGTCGTCTTTCGTTCCACTGGTGTTAGCCCCACCGACTCAGCCGCCCAAGAAGAGGAAGGATAAGGGTGCCCAGTCAGATAAGAGGGCTCGACGGAGGCTCCAGGTTCCACAGTGCCCGACATGTGGGCGACATCACCGAGGCGAGTGTCGCTTTGGTCAGGATGTGTGCTACTACTGCCATGAGGCCGGACACTTTGCGAACCGTTGTCCGAAGAAGGCGCAGCAGGCTCAGCAGCCTCAGCAGCCTCAGCAGCCACCGCAGCAGCAGCAGCCCCGTCAGCAGGCACAGAGACAGCCTCAGCAGCAGCAGCAGAGGGGTAGACCGCAGGCCAGAGTCTACGCCATTGATCAGGCAGAGGCAGAGCAGCAGCCAGGTACCTTGTCCGGAATGGTTATTCTTAATAATGTTCCTGTGTTTGCTTTGTTTGATACTGGAGCGACACACACTTTCATTTCACGACGGTGTCTTGACGCCATCGGAGTTCGAGCAACTTCCGCTATCGATCCTCTCGAGGTGAGTTTGGCCTCGGGACGAAAGATAGTGACTTCAGCCAAAGCCTCAGATCTTAGCCTTTCCATCGGTGGACGAGTTTTGCCTACCGACGCATTTGTTCTCGAGATGAAGGACTTCGACCTCATTCTCGGAATGGATTGGCTATCCTTCTTTCATGCAGATATCAAGTGCCATGACCGGGAGATTACTCTTTATCTTCCGAGAGATGAGTCGATTACTTTCTTCGGCTCCAGACATCGTTCTTTGCCTCAGGTTGTTTCTATGGCGAAAGCCACTAAGTTGCTGAGACGAGGCCGCCACCAGGGTTATCTGGTGAGCCTTGTTGATGATTCTCAGACAGAACGTTCACCCCACGATGTTCCAGTCGTTCGAGAGTTCGTGGACGTTTTTCCCAGATGAGCTTCCAGGAGGACTGCCGAATCGTCAGGTGGAGTTCACGATAGACCTCATTCCAGGGGCCGGTCCAGTGTCCAAAGCCCCATACCGTATGGCGCCTAAGGAGTTGCAGGAGCTTAAGGAGCAGATTTAGGAGCTGTTACGGCTCGGTTTCATTCGATCGAGTGTGTCACCTTGGGGAGCACCCGTTCTCTTTGTTAAGAAGAAGGACGGATCCATGCGCATGTGTATCGACTATCGGGATCTTAACCGGTTGACGATCAAGAACAAGTATCCGCTTCCCAGGATTGATGACTTATTTGATCAGCTGAGGGGAGCCTGTGTGTTCTCAAAGATTGATTTGCGATCAGGCTATCATCAGCTGAAGAGCAAGGAGTCAGATATCGCTAAGACCGCTTTCAGGACTCGTTACGGCCATTACGAGTTTGTAGTCATGCCTTTCGGTCTCAGCAATGCGCCAGCAGTTTTCATGGATCTCATGAACCGTATCTTCCATTCCTACCTCGATCAGTTTGTTATTGTGTTTATTGACGATATCCTTATCTACTCGAAGAGTATGAAGGAGCACGAGGAGCATCTGAGGGTGGTTCTCGAAACCCTCAGACGAGAAAAGTTGTTTGCAAAATTCTCCAAATGCGAGTTCTGGCTCCATCGAGTATCCTTTCTGGGTCATGTGATTACTCAGGCAGGTATCGAGGTGGATCCTTCCAAGGTTTCAGCGTTTCAGAATTGGTCAGCACCGAGGAGTCCTACCGAGGTTCGCAGTTTTCTCGGTCTAGCTGGATACTATCGCAGGTTCATCGAGGG